ATGAATTTCCAATGCTCTGCATGCTCATCATTGAATTCATATGCTGTAGTTAAGTGCTGTCAAGTTGGTTCTGACCCATAACGACCCAGTATAGGGTTTCCTAGGAGCAGTTGGTGAGCTTGAACTGCCAGCTTTGCTTTCCAGCATATTAACTTGAAGCACCACACCAGGACTCCATGAACTCATATACTGCACTTTAATTCTTTTACTCATTCACTGAATACATATTTTTGAATGCTTGCTATGTGCCATATTCTGGGTTATTTACAGGAAGTATGTAAGTACAATGGCATAAAAGATAAACTATTATCACAGAGAACTCACCTGTTTTCGTCCTTGTCTTGTCTGTGACTAGATTGTAAGATCTTTGAGGACAGGCATATTGCTCCTTTCACCTTGTTATCTTCAATATACTGCTCAATGTCCCCATATACTTAATACTCAAAACATCTAAGTGAATAAATCAATAATAGAGACCTATAATCTCATTTACTTTATCCTCCAAAATGCTAAGAAACTCAAGATAGAAATCCAATGTTTATTTCTATGGTTATGTTTTCAGATTCCAGGCAATTTACAAATGTTTTAAAAAATGGTTCCATATTGCTTAACAGGTGCTTTCACACTCAGTTGCCATGTTGTTCTTATATAAGTCGATGGCTGGAAAGAGTAGGGATAATCACATTCCATTGAATCTTCTCTAATTCAACTAAGCTTTTAGGTTACCCTTTGCTGTGTAAGTTACAGAGGTTTTTCAAGACAGTTTTCATTTTTGCTTGCAAACTTTATAATTTGCTCTTGTTAAGTATTGATGCGTAGCAAACTCATATAGGGTTTCTGAGGCTATAAAACTTTATGGGAGCAGAAGACATCGTTTTTCTTCCTCAGAGCAGTTGATGGACTTGAACCACCAAACTTGTGATTAGTAGTCCAGTGATTATCCTTTGTAGCTCTATATGAATAATTAACAATTTGTTGTTGTTGTTGTTGAGTGCTATCAAGTCAGTTCCGACTCATAGCAACCTTGTATAGGGTTTCTGAGGAGCAGTTGGTGAGCTTGAGCTGTTCACCTGAAGGTTCACACAGATTTTAAAGTCTAGTGCATTAATGCACAGAGCCACACTAGGACTCCAATTAACAATTAAGTAGAATGAAAGTTGTTGCACTTTAGTCTGTCTCTGTGTTGTGTGGCAGAGAGGAGATGGTAGTCGCTATGAAAAAGGAAAACTATTAATGTGGGCTCTTCTTCATGACTAATATTTGTAACTATGCCCCAAATCCATGCCTTCCTTTATCTTGATTTTTTCCATTTGGGGCTAATGCGTCAGACTGCAAAGTCACTTGAACT